TAGTAGCCCTATTTTACTATTTTTCATATATATATATATATATATATATATACGTCCGTGAACGCGATAACTTGAGTAATTTTTGTCAGATTTTGATGAAATTTGGTTTAAATGTGTAAAGCGGGATAAACTTGAATGAGTTCGCGAACCAGCACGATCGGACCATGGGAACGGGGCTTTAGGGGGGGTTTTATGGGGTAAAAATTGGTTTTTCTCACTTTTGACCCTCAAAACACAAAATTTCCCAATTTCTCTTTAGACCTTTTTTAAAGAGCTTAAAAAAACAAATAATTTAGTATATATAAGTATTTTTGTTCGATTATTAGTAACGGATAACATTTAAAAAATTTTAAATTTAAAATTCCCATGTTATTCTTATGGAGAATATTGTCAAATGTTGTAGTTTGCTTGTTTATGAATATATTTTGATCAAACTTGGCAAATTTATTTATTTTGTACTAAGCTATCAATATTTTACTCAAAAACACACTTTATTAGTTTCCTTGTAGCTGCAAACCTAGGTACTCGTTAAACCTAATGTTATTAAAATATATTTAACTGAAAATCAATTCACTCAAATGGAAATTCGCTTAGTCGGCAGGTTTGCTGCAGCGGGGGTATTAATATATATTTTGAATGATTCCAGAGGTTTAACTCTGTTAAAGGCAGCAAACATGTTTGTGAATAAATATTGGTTTACCAATGTAGCTTTGGTCTTTTGGTTGGTGATGATAAAAAGGCTTCCCTGATTAAAATATTAGAAATTGTTTTTGTCAGATATGAAAAGGAAAATAAAGGTGTGTTGAGATAAGCTTCTTGGTCTAAACATTGAACAAACTTAAAACTAGATTTGGTTCTGATCAACTGTTATGTCTTCTCTAAGACTGTTAATAATTCATTTATACCTACTTTTACTATCATATGTTTTCTATTGTTTTTTTTTTTTTTTTGTAAACATTCATGAATTAGATTTTGTGTTGAGTTAAGATGCGTGCATTTATTTATTATTTTGTAATTAATAAGAGTCATTTTAATTGGCGACGAGGATGGGATCTTCAGACATGACAAGGCTTTACCACAAATGACTTCAGCTCATTTACTCAGATATGCATCATATCTGTCAGGTTTCCATTACAAGTTGGTGTTCAAAAAGGGCATGGAAAATAAAAACGTGGATTGTCTTTCAAGAGCTCCTCTTACACAGGCTCACTCTCCTAAAGACAAGAAAATCGGAAAAAAGGTACACCAAATCTGCAGCCAAGTTATTTTTCAAATTTCAAGCCATGAAATCACAGCTGAAATCATTAAGAACGAGACAGCCAAAGATCCAGTGCTCTCTAAGATTTTGAAAGACCTACTCACCAATTCAACTGATTCTGATTTTACGTTGGTCGAAAACATTATTTTCCGGGGAGAAAGAGTTTACATTCCATCACTACTTAGAAACAAGATTCTAAATGAACTTCACGAAAGTCAGCTAGCACGGCGCTATGTTTACTGGCCAAATATTGACAAGGACATTGAGCATCTTGTGAAAGGATGTGAAAATTATGCACTAACACGGTCAAATCCACCCAAAGCTCCCAACCACCCGTGGGAAATCCCAAAAGAGAACTGGGAAAGAATACACATTGACTACGCAGGACCGTTTCAAGGCTTCAACTTCCTCGTGTGTATTGATGCTAGATCAAAATGGGAGGAGATAAAAGTAATCAAAGATGCACCATCCAGCTCCAATACCATACATCTACTTGAACAGATCTACTACACACGGCTACCCGAATGTTATGGTATCTGACAACGCCTCAATTTTTCAAAGTGATACATTCCAAGCTTATTGCAAATTGCATGGCGTTTTCCAGAAATTCATATCTCCAGGAAACCCAGCAACAAACGGCTTAGCAGAACGCTCTGTTCAAACATTGAAGAACCGCCTGAAGTCCACAGCTTCGGAAAACATACCAATGGCAATAAAGGTCCAGAAGATCTTAATGCGGTACCGAGCAACTCCTCTAGCATGTGGCAAATCACCCGCTGAACTTTACCTCCACAGGAAGTTAAGAATACGAATGGATGCCATTTTTCCTAACATACAAAAAGCTTCAACTAGAAATGCTCCTTCTGCACGTTCATTCAATGAGGGGGGGAGAGTTCAGGTTCGTCTCTTCATGAACAACAAGAACGTTTGGGAGTTTGGAGAGGTAAATAAAAAGTTGGGAACTCGACACTATCTAGTTTCCCTTGATACGTCAGGCCGACTTATAAAACGACACATTGATCAATTGCAGTCTACTTTGATACCAAAACCAAAGGTTGTTAGGGCTGAACCAATCCACATATTTGATGTTCCACGGGCTTCTAAACACAGCACCAAAGGAAACACTACGGCTGCTACTCCTTATAATCAATTAGATAATCCTGAAAGACCGTTAACTCCTGAAAGACCATCAACTGCCGTAAGAACATCAAATCCCGGAGGACCGTCAACTCCCGAAGGACCATCAATTCCCGAAAAACCACCAACTTCCAAAGAAAACAATTCAGAGGTTCCAAAAGTTCAGGAAACAGAGACAAACAAGGCCATATTCCTGAGAATCAAGAGAGATCAAGGCGACAAAGGCAAATGCCGGGCCGATACAAGGACTTTGTGCTTTCATAATAATACACTACAAGTTCAAAATAGTGGGGGAGACTGTTATGTCTTCTCTAAGACTGTTAATAATTCATTTATACCTACTTTTACTATCATATGTTTTTCTATTGTTTTTTGTTTTGTAAACATTCATGAATTAGATTTTGTGTTGAGTTAAGATGCGTGCATTTATTAATTATTTTGTAATTAATAAGAGTCATTTTATCAACTAAAAAGCTACTATTAGTCTAGTGTAAGTTTATGTGGTGGTATTCCTCCTAAAGGGCGATTGACTTTACATATTCTATCAAAAAATGCCTAATCAACTACTGATTCCTTACTAATTTGCGACTGGTTAGGGTTCCATTACCCAGTCATCAAAACCAATCACGAAATTACTTTTAATCAACACCTTCGACGTGCATATTTTTGGTTAGTTTTAAGAAACGTAAACTACCCCTAGGTTTTACTGTTATATAAAGATGCTCCCTTTACTACCGTGCATGCTAGGCTATATTATTTGAACATTGTTTGCTTGGAACAACCGGCAGTACCTAGTTAAAATCTCCTCCAAACAAATATTGTTTTTCCGCCCATTGGAACTTGTCATATTACACTTGCCTAATGAACAAATACCTGTAGGTACGAACCTATTTCATCTTTATTCTCAGGTTATTTTCTAAGAGTGGCTCAGGTTATTAGGATTCTTACACTTCATACAAAATATTAATGAAACCCAATAAATCGCAAATATAAATGTTAGTAAATTTACAAAAAATGTGTAGAATAAATCTTTAACATATGTTTTGAAATCAAAACAGTTGTTTTATTCCTTGAATAAAACAATAACCTTCAAATTAATTATAATAAGGAACACTTCATTATTTCTTCACCCATTCTAAGTTCAATTCCATTGATTTGAGCCATCTTCCATGATTTTACTACGCTTAACTAATTCACTTAAAAATACACAAGTTTGCAAATTGCACAGTAAAAATAGAACTATTTCAACCTGCTAAAAAGTAACTAAAAATTATTATAAGTAACGTTATCCCTGGTTTCATAATATAGTATACAGTACATTGCAGAATTGGCTGGCAAATGAGTAATCCAAATGCAATAATGATAAATCACGATTAGCTGTATTGAAGTAAACAAAAATCAGCATTAAATGGCTTCTAATACTATTCTTATGGAGAACATTTTACGTTATATCGAATTTTGCGTTAAAATTTCAGGAATTTCACTATTTTTCCCGCCGTCGCGGGATCGAGACCTTAATTTGAGCCCTCTCCCGTCATTCGGCGAATTCCCAGTCGCCCACAATTTTGACGAAAAGAATCGGCTTACATAATTAATATATAGATGAGTACTTAGGTTTGCTGCTACAGGGAAGAAAATAGGGGTATTTTATTGAAATATTGATAGCTTAGTATGAAGTAAACAACATTTCAAAAATTTCTTTAAAGGGATACGCCACTATCTTAAGCTTTTTTTAATTTTTTTATTTTTGTGAACCTTATTAGTATATTTTGTTTATACTCAACTTAATTAGAAGATTTAGGTCCAAAAATATTGAATTTGTGACAAATTTACTTCTGCTTTTAGCGAATTTCCCATACAGGGAATAAGCTATTACCGTAGTACTCATGGTAAGACCTGGACCCGGGACCGATTTACTTTTTCGTTTTGAGGTCCCTAGAGGCCAAAAACACCATCCGTTCAAATTCATATATATATATATTATATATATATATACATATATAAAAATTTGAACGAATGGTGTTTTTGGCCTCTGGGGACATTAAAATGAAAAAGTAAATCGGTCCCGGGCCTAAGTCTTGCCATGAGACCTACGGTAATAGCTACTTCCCTATAGGGAAATTCGCTAACAATTATATATGGAGTGATTTAAATTATTTATTGGAAACAACGCCAACAAAAGCAAACAAAGACAAACAAAAAACCTTTTTTTCACAAAAGATATGGTGTACAGGGATATCTATACTGACACTTAGATAATACAGTTCTTACAAAAATTACTTTTGTAGCGCTTTTAGGGACTTATGTCCCTACAAGCCACTAGCATATATATATATGAATTTGAACTGATGGTGTTTTTGGCCTCTAGGGACCTCAAAACGGAAAAGTAAATCGGTCCCGAGTCCAGATCTTACCATAAGTACTTACGGCAATAGCTTATTCCCCATATAGGAAATTCGCTAGAATAAGTTGTGACACTCGTTGTTGGAGTTGGAATGTATTTACGTCTCCACGTTCAGGCTATGAAAAAAGAGTATATTTTTGTCACTTTTAAAACAGCTAATTTTTACCTGGTTTTATTTCATCCAATGAATCTTAATTTCAGACAAAACCTGTGGAAGGAGGGCAGACAGATGTTGGACATCCTATGTTGGAGATCTACAAAGTGTTTGAGGTAACTAGTGTACCTGTTACTCGAATTCAAACCAATTGTGAAATATTACGGCGTTATTTTAAAACTAATAACTCATAATTTCCGATTACTTTAAAAGGGTCGACTCAAAGATTGTGGAAATACTCACAATGTGCATAACAGTTCGATATAATCAACATTTCTTGTCAAAACTTTGAACAATGTGACAGCATTTCACCCGGATGCCTAATGAAAAAAAGTCTAGCTTAAAACTGAATACAGTTAAATAAGGTAACAACGGCTAAAATAAACTTCAATTTTCAACTGTGAGGTATAACATTTTGAGGGGGGTAAAAACGTACTGCTACTCAACAAACGCCATAACTTACCAGTTTTCATCCAAAATAGCCTTCTCCTAGGGGGGGGGGAATTTTTATCCACCTGGAATTTAGCCCCATGGGTGAACGTACCTCACAAACCAGGGGGTAACGATCCGGCCGCGAACTTTTGAGTTTCGCAAAATCAGTTCGATGGATTAAACGCGGAATTAAACGTATATTTTCACGGTTGTGAATTTAATCAGAACACATCAAATTATAAAACACCCCGGATTTTTACCCCTGCAATTTTACACCCTTGCCATATATATAAATTAGTGAGAATGGTTAATTATCTTCATTCTGTTTTAATTTAATGGTAAACATTTTATTATTGAGTAGCCTATCTTAATTTATTTGCGACATCAACTAATCAAACAGGTTTTTAATTTTTAATTTTGAGATTCGAGTATCAGGATACGGGGTAACCCGTAAATATCGTTTTCAATACACCCATGTGTCCAAAGTGTAATTCATTCAACACGATTTTAATAAGAGACTACGGAATCATAACCCCCCATCCCTTGAGGATACAACCTTCATGAAGACTCAGTTCACCATCGTGAAATCCAAGTTTTTCAACAGACTGGCCATTTTGTAAAGCGTGTACTATCTTATTCATTTCCGTGTCATAGGAAGTTTCTTTTGCTACCAACTTATGATCCAAACTCATTTGATTGATCTGACTTGTTAGGAAAACATCAATTTGGTCAATGCAGGTACTATTCTGTGTCTCAGTAGGAAATCTAGAGAGAAAATCAGCGTTTCCATGTTCATTTGATCTTCTGAACTCAATGCTGTAATCAAAGCCTGATAAATAATGAGAATAATTGAACAAGCGAGTTGCAGACATGGATGGAAGATTTTTTTCTGGTTTGAAGATTGTGACTAGTGGTTTGTGGTCGGTTACGAGGGTGAATTTGCGACCGTAACAATAAGTAAAGAACTTTTTAAGGCCCCAAATAATGCCAGTTGCTTCCTTGTCTATCTGACTATATTTTTCTTCAGGCTTCGTCAACGTTCGAGAGGCAAAAGCAATTGGTTTCTCAATCCCATCAGGAAAACGGTGTGATATAACAGCGCCTAACCCAACAGGAGATGCGTCTGTTGCTAATACTAGCGGTGGTTCTGGACTGTAGTGGCAAAGAACAGTATCACTGGAGATAACTTTCTTTATTTGTTCAAAACTCTGTTCACATTGTTCATTCCAAACGTATTTGTTCCCTTTCTGTAAAAGTTTATGTAATGGTTTCAGTAGAGTTGCTAGGTCTTTTATGAATCGGTTGTAATAGTTTACCAAACCTAAAAATGTCCGGAGTTCGCTTACATTCTCAGGTATTCTTGCCTTTGCTATGGCAGCCACTTTGTCAATACATTTATGAATACCCTTTTCATCAATGACGTGGCCCAAATAATGTATTCTTCTGACGAAAGCATTAGCCAGAAGTTTTTGTCAATAACAATAGAAAGGACAAGACAAAGATATCGAGGAGATGAGTGCATCAAGCAGAGCGTGTCGAGAAAAACAAAATGCACCACAAAAGAAGTAAACCATGCTTGGATACCACTTCTAGACCTTGAGAAAGGATTCACATTGATTTTGCTGGCCTACAAATAGACTTTACTTCCTGTTAGTCATTGACGCATTTACCAAATGGGTAGAAGTATTGCCTACGAAATGTACTACAGCTACTTGTACAGTAAAGGAGTTGCGGAAAATGTTTTCTACTTTTGGATTACCAGTTCTTCTTGTGTCAGTCAATGGACGACAGTTTACTTCCTTAGAGTTTACTAGCTTCCTTGAACAGTGGAAGTACAGTGGAACAGTGGAACAGTGGAACCTGGGAATGAAAAAATACATAGATTTCTAACGCAGATCCGCCAAGCTTCTAATTCAACGTGAACCGGGCCTAATTCTAAGTCTAATTCAATTATAGGGCCTCAATAACTCGAACAATAGGCATGTTCAGTGATGTAACCTCGAAAGTAAATGCTAAGGAACTGGAATAGTAGCACCTTATGGGTTTCATGCTATCAAAAATAGTATTGTTAATGTTATACTGTATCAATAAAGTAATTGTTTTTAGATGACATATGTGGTATACAAGCTGAAGTCTCAACTTGATGAACAGTCTTCTATCATAGTTGAAGGGGTGGTGAATGATAATGCTAATAGGTATGATCAACTTTTCTTACTTTTTAGTTTATTTATACACAAGTTCTATTTTCAAATAATAATAATCTTTTTACCCACAGGTGGAATATCATTATGGATGGACTTTATTGTCTAAGTAGCTGAGTAGTTATAGTGCTTGTCTTCAAATCTGAATGTCACTTGTTTTACCTTAGCGAGGTCGATTCTGGAACCAGGTGGATTTTTGTCACTTGCCTAATTATTGATGCAAACTACTAGTAGGCTTGGAAAGGTGGATAGTTACAAGATCAGGGTTTGCATTTTCACTTTAGAAAAAACACGAAAAATGCTAAAGGTGTAAAAGATTTGGAACCTGGAATAATTTTTGGTCATTGCATTATGTTTTTTTATAAATTTTCCACACAAAATTCACTATGCATCACATAATGATTTGCGAGTTTCTACCTCGAAATATGCTAAAAATGTTAAGTGTTATACACATTCCAGTATTTGTTCATTTTGAGGTAATTTACAATGTCTATTAAATATAGCACGTTTAAACAAATTCATTGGTTTTTAGAGAAACCTGCTTGAAGAAATTTAATTCAACAAAATATTCTATAATTCCTCTTGATGTGGAGTGGGCATAAGTTAGTAAAAATTCTGAACTTAACCTGTTTCATGTAAATTGTTTGACTAACTAAATTAATAAGTCTATCTGTATGGATTTTTCTTTCAAATTTCGGCCAAATTGGGTACGTAATTAAAATGATTGCAAACCCTAAGTTTGTCAAGCTTTTTAGCGAATTTCCCATATAGGGAATAAGCTATTACCGTAGTACTCATACTTTATTCGGATTGTAGGACAACCTTTCCCAGGGTCTCCTCGCCAAGGGTCGGTCGTAAAATATTTCTGCGGGGGCGGCCAACCGGTGTCCGGAAAGATGGGGACGAGGAAACTTAGGGACACGGAAACTTGGGGACAAATCGGGTTTTGAGCCGAGGGGGAGGCAAACGGAGGCTGACTAAGCTCTGAGAACGACTCTTTAAATCGACTCGTTCTCTATTGTTATTGTACCTAGGTCTAGTTGTAACCATCGAAGTATATAACACATTGTTGTGTTATATACTTCGATGGTTGTAACTACGACACACTTGTTGTATTTATATCTAGTTCTACCTCCCCTTACATTTTTCACCTTGTTTAAATGGTTACTATTTGTAGAGCTTAGGGACAACAGATTTAGTACATTTAAGTGTATTTGTAGGGTTATTTTATTAATCACGGAGTAAACCCGAATTGTAAATGATTATTCAAGCATACATTTTTAAAATCAAAAATGCACTTGAATATTTCTAAAACAGTAGCATCAACTTCGTGATGATGTTATAGCGTTCAATTTATGTTATACGACCGTGAACATGGACGAATTTCTCTCGTTTGTATTAGAACAATAATACAATATAATTCAGGAACAACCCGTGACTAGCTATTACTGAGAAAGATTAAAGAAATGCCTGTTGTAAAATGTAGTCGTAGGCATCTGGTACAAAGTATTCCACCTATTGTTTAATCCAAGCAAACCCAGAAACATTCAGTACTTGGAAAGGTAAAGGAAATATGAGTGAACAGAATACATCAATGTCCCGTTAATCCCCTCGCACGTTTCTCCGAATCGACTTCATTTGCAATTTGCAGATTTTCCTTTCAAACAGGCCAGTTATTGGGGTGTCAGGTCACTCGGGTCAGTTAACTTTTGTGTAGTTACGAGAGTGTGATTGACCTCCAATTTCCAACATAAATATTGTTTTGGTTTTACGTGGCAATCGCAAAAGAGGAACTTTTTGCACTGAGGAGGATCAGCTGTTGTTAAAACTATTTTTTTCTGAATTCTTAAAAGTGGTGGTAATTTAGGCCTAATTTATTCCTTCTTCGTCAATATATACTGATTGAAATATTTATATACACAATTATTCAAAACACTGATTTGTATGATATTAGACACGTTTTCTTCAATTCTTTACTGCGAACGTCACTTACCAAATACCAATAATGTGACGATATAATATTTCGTCTAAAAACAAATGCCGATCTGTTTAGAAATGTGTTCTTCCCACAAAATTGCACTTGTATCTTTAAGTTATAAGTTATTTACAATCAGTGATGTGTTTTGAAATCACTTCCAGGACAATTAATTTAGTGACAAATTTTACACGTTCGTTATCGGTACAGGTTTTTGAAAAAAATGTATTATTGGTTCAAAGTACCAGTAAACAGTACAATCGGTACATAACTAACTCATGTCACAGACTCGCGGGCAAGAATAACTCGTAGTACCGAATCAATAGTACTAAGTCCTACAAAGAAATACATTTTGATCAATTTTTGGTCAGGGAGTAAACATCATTTTTATTCTCTAGGGAGTAAAAATCAGCTGTTGTAAACAGTTGTAAATTACGATTGTGGCAATCGTATCGATATAAATTATTTATCGATCGATTTATTAGGTAAGGGTTTAGCCCATTGTTATCGATTGCTCGACCTATCGATGGTACAATGAACTGTAACACAATCGTAATAGACGAAATGATTGAATCACTTACTAAACAGCTGCTTATTTGCATTGACAGAATTCAAAACAAGCTGGAATTCGTTTTGAAAAGTTATCTTTACATAACAATTATTATGTTTTCTAGCTTTGTTTGTTAATTAATTATGAAATATGACGAAAAATATAGTTCACCGCATGGTCAAAAAGAGTCACTTTAGGCCCTAGCGATGAAATATGCTATTAGTTACAACTATCTATAAGAGAAAATAAATTCGGTCCATCCAACTCCAAGCTAACATCTATATATTAATATGCAAGCATGTTTCTTGAAAACCTTTTTTCTCAGCTCGTGTTCATCGCAGGGTAAATCTACGCATACTGTTGAAAAAATATTTTTCCGTAGATGTGAAAAATCCCTTTATTAATTAAAATGGGCTAAAAAAACACAAACAATTTAATTTTAATTTTAATAAATTAATATGGACCTTTTGGGTTGCCATGCTGGTGACGAAATAACGCAAAATATATTCAAAATCAAAACAAATGGAAAAAATTCCAATCGCCTGTTTTATTTACAGCGTGGGTCAATATAGAAAAGTCTGTAAATTACATGACCACTGGACAACCTATAGTTTATTTAAAACCTTAACATTAAAAAAAGTTATAAATTTATTACATTAATTTATTACCTCAGCCTATGTTGGGTAATTTATTGCCGAGAGATATATAGTTTGTATTTTACTTTTAAGTCTAATTTATTTAAAGGTTTAGCTTTTAAACCCTCCCCATAAATGAAACAAGCAAATCAAGTATACCGTGAAGTTACAAATAGTTAAACAATAAAATTGGTCAGTTTTTTAAAATGTTAACCAGTTCCACATTTCACATTTAAACATTCAAAACTACTTGAACTCGATAGTATGCGACCGTTAATGCCAAGTGTTCTACGAAATAGACCCCCCAACGGACGACATTCATAATGTCCCTGTTCTGCAAATTCATTGAATAGAATACTGAACCTCTCAGAGAATTCGAGATAAGTTTTGCCAATGTTAGACCTTCCACGAAACACAGGTCCACTGAACTATACCCCAATCCGGTATGTACACATATTAAAAAAAAATACATTGGGCCATTTTCACCAATTTAGTGAATATAAAAAAAAGAGTTTAATCCCGTGGCGGATCCAGCCAAGGATCCCTTGGCCAGAAAATCTTTAACCATCGGGTAATATCATATAACATATTTCGCTTTAATTTTACAAAGCCTTTTTAAACCGATTTGAACCCCTTAAAAAAATTACTGAATTTTCGTTGAAAATATATGTCAAAATATTCAATCTTGACCGCGCAGTCCTATAATTTTCCCAGAGTAGGCCGCATAAAATATTGCCTTCTTAAGCGTTTCCGAAAAAAAAATGACAGCGGATCAGAAATTCAGAGATAAAATGTCTATCTGACATAAAAGTAACCAAATACACGCAATGTGCAAACAAAAATACAATTTATTTCATAACGTTTATCGTAGGCCTACACAATCACAAAAATATTTTAATTTTAAACTAATTATAACAATATATCTTAACAATGTGTCATAACATTATATTCAGTAATATTATTGCATAGAATGCGTTTATATTTTCTGTAATATATATTCAACTTACCCAAAATGGGTAAAAAAAGAAGCTAGCAAACCTAGGCGATTAGGCCTGGATCAATCAGAACTTCTCTGACTTTTAACATTTTTAGGTTTACTGTTTGGAAATATTCAAATTATGATTTTAAAGTCAATCCCGTTACTGTAGCTAAGCTCTCTGTGAACTGAAACAGGAGAACGACTCGTTCTAAAAGAGTCGTTTCAGAGCCTAGTTCAGCTAATCTCTCCCTCCCCCCGGTCGAACCCCTATTTGGCCCTAACTTTCCGTGTCCCTAACTTTCCTTGTCCCCATCTTTCCTAAACTCGGCCAACCTGTCCCAGGTTGCATGAGGATTAGTGCTGGGACAGGTTGGCCGCCCTAGCCAAAATATTTAATGGCCGACCCTAGACTAGTAGAACCTTGGGCAGGGGTTGAAAAATAGGTAATCATAAGATACCAGTACTTAACTGAAGCATACGTAAAATTGATATTTCTAAGCTGCAACATGAGCTTCGAATAGTGCAAGTAACAACACTTTTAAGGAATATCTTTACGTTTCCGGGATCAAACACGGAGAACACAAGATGTTGCAGGACTAGAAAATTGCCAGCGTGCTCTTTGCTCTTCTTAACAATCAAGTCATTGTGAAAAACTTGGTAAAGTATATTGAATTAGTGAATATAGGGTTTTTTAATTTCCTCTTTGGTTGCATTTTCAAACACTTTCAAACACACATTATGTGAAAGTAAAGAAAATACTCGTCAATCAAACGAGAAAGTGTTAAAATATTTTTTCAAATTTTTATGTTTATTATTTAAGGGTTTATTTCCTAAAAAAAGCCTAAAGAAACAAAT